TATATATATACATATATATATATATTCACATATATATACACATATATTCTGTGTTGCATATTATATATTTTCTTAGAAAATTTAAATTATTATTCATACATAAAAACCATAACAATGAAAATGACCAGAATTAGGTACCAGTGTTATTAGTACCCAAATATTGATGCTCTTATTTTATTTGTTTCCACACTGAAAAAAAAATGTTTGATATATTTGCAACTATAATCGTGCAGAGAAATAATTACTATAAATTATGGTCGAGAAAATAATTTTTTTATTGAATTCTACTATAATGTTAGTGATAATAACTTTATATGCATGTTATAACATGACATTTTACAATAAAAAATATGGTTGAGACTAAAAATAATTGTAATTTTAGTTCGATCAACCATTTTTTTCTCTCAGTGTGCCAAAACCGTGTAACATTAGGCACAGTATTCTTTTCACACGAGAAATCAAATGTGTCCGATATGAGCTTAATTTGCGCCTCGGCAAAATAAGACTGGACGACATTAGGGCGGGTAACTTCGTGGAGCGGTAAAAAACGGAGCTGAAGTCGCGCAGAGTATGGGGAAAATTAACCGACGACCTACGGGCTCATGAATATGAAAACAGAGCCGTATAATATTGTCGTACACCAAAATTCATCCATCTATATATAGGCCTTAACGCGTAACTACAAAGATGTCCAACGGCGGCGTTTCCTAACGACGTATCGGGGGCAAGGGAGGCAGGCAATCGGGGCGGCTTTAATTATCTCGCGGCCTCCTAACGTGCAATTAATTCCGAATGCGGTTTAGTTTAGCGAACGAAGAGCAAACAATGTATTACCCTCTAGGCCGTCTAAACGTAGGTGGTTACCGCGGAATCGAGGCTGGAGGGGACGGCGGCAATGGGGGTAGGTTAGGCCACTTTACGCAAATAGCATGGATCCTGCAGATAGCGCATACTTCCCGTAACGCCACCACCGTGTACCCCCCCTCCTCCTCCCCCGTTTACCCATCTTCCCCACCTTCCGCCGCCCTTCGCGTTCTCCACCCTATCGTACCCTATTGCTCCCGAACGCGAGGTTAATGCTCTGTGAATTTGTGATTGCCTCTAAAGCAAACTGGCGGGTTTTAGCGAAAGCCTACTCGGCGACCTCGACGGACTCGGCTCGGTTTTCGACTTGCTGTTAACGCGCGTCTTGCGTTGTCTTTCGCGAACGCGAAACACGTTATTCATCTCGGTTTTCTTCCCCATGACTTATAAAATACCTTAGTTAAAACTGAACCTCGTCGGTGTCTAGTCATGAGATTAAGTAAATTTGTGTCCAACATTATTAGTCTGTGATATAACACTCATTTCTCTCAGTGGCTAATAAGTAAGTTAACTGATGGTTAAACAAACGATATTACAGTTATGAGATGACAAGTCATAAATAGTTGCTAGTCAATGCTTTTTGGAGATTTTTATAAGATTAACGTAGCTTCAATTTTGACTTGATTAATTTAATTTTGAAATAAGCGATTACGTATGTATCGGGGCATTGGTACTTTTATCTCTTCAATCTGATTAGTATCAGAAAAAAGCGCCATTGTTTCCTCCGCGAATAAATTATCAAAGAGCCGCGGTTCAACACCGAGACTCTCGTCCTTTTCCATGGAATGTCGAGCTTTTATGGCGATTTTGCGCACTTTTTCCGCAATCATCGAAACTCATTCGTGCGATAGCGAGATCGGATCTCTCCGCGAGACTCTGTATGTAGGACGAAAATTCGATTCGTTGCTCGTGAGAGAGAAAAAGAGAGAGAAAGAGAGAGAGAGGGAGGGAGAGAGGGGCTTTTTTCCCGAAACGGGGGCGAGCACTTGAAGGTAGCTGCGGTGGAGGGGAGTCCGACATAATTAACCCTGCCAGTGTATTACAAATCAATAGTGTACGTGTATATTGGACGTAGGCTATTATGTATCACCCCCGCGGGCGATATATAATGTGTTGGCAATCAAGATTGAAAGCGTACAGAGTTTACATATACGCTGAAACATAATATTGAGAAAATCAAGATGTTTTTTTCTATAATATTGTCTACAATATT